GGATTCGTGGACAGTGGAAGATTGAGGTAGTCCTCGACTTACGACCCTAATTCAAGGTCGTAAAAAAACGAAGTTAGCACAATGGATACACTCCCTTGGGGGCGCTCTGCATAAGCCCCTAGGCCAGCTGCCAAACAGCCAACAATTTATTCTGGTGCCTCTTTATTAATGACGTTAGAGATGGAAAATTGGAATTTAAAACTCCAGTTTAATTTGAGAGTGGGGGATGTGCGAAGGTTGTGCTAACGGCCTCATTAAAGCTAACGGTGGGAAACCTGTGAATGCAGAGATGATTCATGCCATGTGAAGCCTCCAGTTTCATGTCTGCCTCGTCTGCAAAATTTCCCCCATATTTAGACATTTCTCCAGGAATCTTGCTAATCAGCCCAATCATCTGTCTTGAACTCTTTCGCTGCTAAAACCGGTAAATGAACCGAGTCCATCATTGTCAATATTTGGGATAAATCATCTCGACTTGTTTTGCTGACTTTTACGGTGGCATTAACAAAGCCATCTGCGGAAATGATAGCAGTCTTCCAGTATTTGAGGGGCTGCCACAAAGAAGAGGGGGTCGACTTATTCTCCAAAGCACCTGAGGGCAGGACAAGAAGCAACAGATGGAAACTAATCAAGGAGAGAAGCAACTTAGAACTTAGGAGACACTTCCTGACAGTGAGAACAATTAACCAGTCATGGCCTTCAGAAGTTATGGGTGCTGGAGAGAAGGGAGGGAGGGGATGAAAAGTAAGGAAAGGAGCAAGGGAGTGGGAGGGGAGAAGGAGTATGGAAAGAAAGAAAGAAAAAGAAATGAGGGAGAGAGGGAAGAATGGAAAAGGAATAAGGAACAATGGGTGGAGGAAAGAAGGAAGGGAAGGAAGGAAGGAAGGAGGGAAAGAGGGAGAGGGAGGGAGGGAGGGAAGGAAGGAAGAAGGGAGGGAGGGAGGGAGGGAGGAAGGAGAGGAGTGGAAAAGGAATGAAAAGAGCAAGAGAAGGAGGAAAGAAGGAAGGGAAGGGAGGAGGGAGAGGGGGAAGGTAGGGAGGAAGGAAGGAGAGGAGTGGAAAAGGAATGAAAAGAACAAGAGAAGGAGAAAAGGAAGTGAGGAGGGAGAGGGAGGGAGGGAAGAAAGAAGGGAGGGAGGGAGGGAGGAGAGGAGTGGAAAAGGAATGAAAAGAACAAGAGAAGGAGGAAAGAAGGAAGGGAAGGGAGAAGGGAGAGGGGGAAGGTAGGGAGGAAGGAAGGAAGGAGAGAAGTGGAAAAGGAAGGAAATGAACAAGAGAAGGAGGAAAGAAGGAAGGAAAGAGAGGAGAGAGAGGGAGGGAGGAAGGAAGGAGAGGAGTGGAAAAGGAAGGAAAAGAGCAAGAGAAGGAGGAAAGAAGGAAGGGAAGGGAGATGGGAGAGAGGGAGAGGGAGGGAGGAAGGAAGGAGAGGAGTGGAAAAGGAATGAAAAGAGCAAGAGAAGGAGAAAAGGAAGAGAGGAGGGAGAGGGAGGGAGGGAAGGAAGAAGGGAGGGAGGAAGAGGAGTGGAAAAGGAATGAAAAGAGCAAGAGAAGGAGGAAAGAAGGGAGGGAGGAAGGAAGGAGAGGAGTGGAAAAGGAATGAAAGGAGCAAGAGAGGGAGGAAAGAATGAAAGAAGGGAGGAAAGAAGGGAGGAAGGAAGGAAGTTAGTTAGTTTCCAATTTCCTTTGCACCAAATATAACACACAATTAACAAAATGCTCTCTTATGGCCAAGGAGCTTTTTGCACAGAGTCCTGATCTCCACGTGTTCCTGCTGCCCGCTCTTCCATCATCACCCACAGACTGTTTTGCCAACACGCTCTGCCTCGTCCTGGCATCGAGCGCCTTCTGCTTCTCCCTTCCTCGATTCCCTCCCACGCAAACCCATCGATGCAGCCTTTTCTCCGAAATGTCACCGGGGCGGTGTGTGCAAGCAACAGGAGATAATCATGCCTACACCACAAACAGTTGCAAACCCCAGAACCCCATGGAAATGGTGTTTGTTGGCACATTTAAAAAAAACCAACCGGGAATGCCAAATTTTTATTCGGCTGCTTCTTCCCCGCGATGGGGTTTTTATTGCAGCCTGTGTGTGTGTGTGTGTGTGTGTGTGTGTGTGTGTGAGAGAGAGAGAGAGAGAGAGAGAGAGAGAGAGAGAGAGAGTTTGTTTCAATACAGCAAGCAAAATCTGAATTATTGCTCAGCCGTTCAGAGACTTTGGGCATCGTCCCAAGGGCCGAAGGGCGTTCAAATAATAAAGATGCACCCAATTGGGGGGTGCTGGCACCTCTTGTTTCCCTAGAGGCTGGCAGCTCTCTGGTCAGTGGGTGGGCTGGCAGCTGAGGAAAGAGGGGAGGGCTTTTCCTCCCCCCCCTCCCCATTGTCTGGGTTGCTTGGCAACTGCGTTCCCATGGAGATATTTGTACACTCAAATATAAAACCTGGGGACCAAGGGACAAAACATTTGACCCTTCAGAAAGGCAGAAAGGGGCTGGAAACAGGTGAGACTGAGCCCTCTGAGGGGTGGGACAGGAGCTGGGTGAAAAGAAAGGGAGGGAGCCGAGGCCCTCCCTCTGGCCCAGGTAGAACACCTGGAGCCTTCCAGATGTTGCGGAACTACAGACGGTCCCCAGCATTCCCCAGCCTGTTGGGGCTGTTGGGAGTTGTAATTCACAACATCCGCTATGGATGTGGGATCCGAGCTGCCTCGTGCAACTGCTCCTTTCGCCTGGAATTTCTTTCGGCCCACCGTCTTTTCCCAAACTAAGGGTGAAAAGAAATTCCGAATGGCAAAATATCCTACTTGATAAATAAGAGCTTGTTTGGTCTGGGCTACAAGGAGTTTTCCTTCCTTCCTTCCTTCCTTCCCCTCTCTTCCTTCCTTTGCTCCTTCCTCTCACCTTTCCTTCCCTCTCCTCTCCTCCTCTCCTTTCCTTCCTCCCTCCCTCCCGTTTTATCCTTCCTTCCTTCTTCCTTTTTTCCTCCTTCCCTCCCTCCCTTTATCCTTCCTTCCTTCTTTCTTTCCCTCCCTCCCTTTTTGCTCTTCCTCCCTCCCTCCCTTCCTTTTTTACTCTTCTTCCCTCTGTCCCTTCCTTCTTCCCTCCCGATTTATCATTTCTTCTTTCTTCCTTTTCTGTCCTTCCTTTTTTCCTCCTGCCCTCCCTCATCTTTCCTTTTTCCTCATTTTATCTTTTCTTGCTTCCTTTTTTCTTCCTTTCTTCCTCCTTCCCTCCTTCCCTCCCTCCCTCCCTTTTTATCCTTCCTTCCTTCTTTCCTTCTTTCCCTCCCTCCCTTTTTACTCTTCCTCCCTCCCATCTTCCCTCCCTTTTCATCCATCCTTCCTTCCTCCCTTTCTTTCTTCTCCATCTTGATAAAATTGTTGATAAAATTGTCACAAAGATTGCATTTTATCTGCTTACTGAGTCTCATTTTTTTGCGGGGTGAAGGACTCATATGTAAATGATAAACTAATCAAAACTTCTGACTCATCCTCCAAGTTAAGGCACCTCCAAAATTATCTCTGCTAACCAAGATTAATGTTTTGCATGAGTATTACATCTTTTACTAACCTGCTTAAGCATGCTGGGTGGACATAGTCTTATATAGTGAATTATGTTTTTTGTGCTGTAAGTACAGCACAATCTAGAACGGCCTAAGCCTCTGAAATCTAGTAAAACTTGTTCATTGAGCAATTTAGTTTAATTCAGTTTAAACTCAATTCAATTGAGTTTAAAGCAGGGGTCTCCAACCTTGGCAACTTTAAGACTTGTGGACTTCAGCTCCCAGAATTCTCTCCCAGAATTCTGGGAACTGAAGTCCACAAGTCTAATAGTTGCCAAGGTTGGAGACCCCTGCTTTAAAGCATAAATCCCATTATGCTATAGAATGGCAGTTTTTCCTATTCCTTTGGGTATACTGGAGGAAAATTAGTTTTTAAAAAAATATTTGTTAAGGTCAGGAAGAGTTTTAAAGTGTAAATGCTTGCTAAGACCTTGCTTTCTATTTCTTTCTTAATTCATTCTTCCCAAAGAATTTAAATTTTTAAAATGCCAATTTTGTGGTCAGTCAGTTGTTCGTTGGGTGGTCAAGTGGTCGTTAGATAAATGGATGGATGGATGGATGGATGGATGGATGATGGATGGATGGGTAGACAGACAGACAGATATAGACATGGTTGGTTATTTGGTTAGATAAATGGATGGATGGATTGGATGGAGGGTGGGTGGGTGGGTGGGTAGGGAAAGGGAAAGAAAGAAGAAAGAAAGAAAGAAAGAAAGAAAAGAAAGAAAGAAAGAAAGAAAAGAAAGAAAGAAAGAAAGAAAGAAAGAAAGAAAGAAAGAAAGATATGGTTGGTTATTTGGTTAGATAAATGGATGGATGGATGGATGGATGGGTGGGTGGGTGGGTAGATAGAAAGAAAGAAAGAAGAAGAGAAGAAAGAAGAAAGAAGAAAGAGAAAAGAAAAGAAAGAAAGAAAGATAGATAGATAGATAGATAGAGATAGATAGATAGATAGATAGATAGATAGATAGATAGATATGGTTGGTTATTTGGTTAGATAAATGGATGGATGGGTGGGTGGGTGGGTTGGTAGGTAGGTAGGTAGGTAGGTAGATAGGATAGGTAGGTAGGTAGGTAGATAGATAGATAGATAGTAGATAGATAGATAGATAGATAGTTAGGAGACAGACAGACAGACAGACAGACAGACAGTGGACAGATGGAATGGATGGATGGTTAGATGGATGGATGGATGGATGGGTGGATGGATGGGTGGGTAGGTAGGTAGAGACAGACAGACAGACAGACAGACAGACAGATAGATATGGTTGGTTATTTGGTTAGATAAATGGATGGATGAATGGATAGGTAGATGAAGAGAGAGAGATGACAGAGAAGACGGACAGACAGACGCAGATAGATATAGATGGTTGGTTGGTTGACTGTTGAGCTACTTGGGCCAGGGCATAAGTGCATAAGCAATTATCACCATTCCTAACCTGTCAATCCAATCAGAACTCAAACTGAGCAAGTCACAAAAGGATCGGAATCTTAGAATCAGAATGGCGCAGAATAGAAGGAATGTGTTTGTTCCACTCAAACCTGGTTTGGCAGCCACAATTCAGCCATGTCCACCAACACAAACATCACTGCCTCCTGGAAAAGAAACCGTCTTCTGCCCCTAAAACTGTGAATAATAACCGAGCATTGTGTTTTGAGTACTGTGTTTTAGGTATTCAGTGTTGCATATGACACTTTTCTGCTGTAATGAATGGATTCAGGTTTAAGATGCCACAAAATTCTTGTATTGCCTTCTAAAACTGATTTACAGTTTGTGCCTTTATGACGTTTGATACTTATGAACTTTGGTTCGAACAAGCAGCTACGTAAAGGAGATTGATGTTTTCGTTGCAATCGGCAAAAAAGTCACTGGATTCCACAAAGGTAGGAGTTTTTTTTTTTTTTTTATTATAATATACGAGTATTATAATGGCAAACCCTTTACATATGTCCATTTGTCCATCCCTGGTTTTCGTGGATTCTAGCAAGGTCCATCTGGCTTTGACGGGCAACCTTGCATGAGTTTTTCTGCTGAAAGAAGGCAGGAGGGAACCAAATGGACAATTTCAGGATTTGGGGATTTAAAAAGAGATGAAGAGGTTGAGGAGAAGTTTAAGAGGATAATTACTCGAATAGGGAGAAGAGCAGGAGGCAGAATTTTATGTCCCCCCCCATTTTTTCATTTCTTTCTCTATTTAAAACATTGAAAAAAATCACACACAAATGGATATTAGATGATAGATAGAATAGATAGATAGATAGATAGATAGATAGATAGATAGATAGATAGATAGATAGACAACAGACAGACAGACAGACAGACAGACAGAAGATAGAGAGATGATAGAGAGGATATAGATAGATAGATAGATAGATTAGATAGATAGATAGATAGATAGATAGATAGATAGATAGATAGATAGATAGATAGATAGATAGAGAGACAGACAGAAGGACAGACAGAGAGATGGAGATGGAGAGATGGATAGATTGATAGTAGATAGATAGATAGATAGATAGATAGATATAGATAGATAGATAGATAGAAGATAGATAGACAGAGAGAGAGAGAGAGAGATTATTGATAGATAGATAGATAGATAGAGATATAGATAGATAGTAGATAGTAGATAGATAGATAGCCTTAGTCAGAGAGAGAGAGAGAGAGGATAGAGAGAGAGAGAGAGTAGATAGATAGTGAGAGAGAGAGAGAGATAGATAGATAGATGATAGATAGATAGATAGATAGATAGATAGATAGATAGATAGATAGAGATAGATGATAGATAGATAGATAGATAGATAGATAGATAGATAGATAGAGATAGATAGATAGATAGATAGATAGATGATAGAGATAGATAGATAGATAGATAGATGATAGATAATAGCCTTAGATAGAGTCAGAGAGAGAGATAGATAGATAGATGATAGAGAGAAAAGATAGAGAGATAGAGATAGAGAGAGATAGAGATAGAGATATGTAGAGAGAGAGAGAGATAATAGATACAGTAGAGAGAGAGAGAGAGAAGATAGATAGATAGATAGAGATAGATAGATAGATAGAGATAGATAGATAGATGAGAGAGAAATGGATAAGAGAGTAGATAGAGATAGATGAGAGAGAGAGAGAAGAGAGGAAAGGAAGGAAGGAAGGAAGGAAGGAAGGAAGGAAGGAAGGAAGGAAGGAAGGAAGGAAAAGAGATATGCAGATAGTCCTTGACTTACGAACATCACTGAGCCCAAAATTTCTGTCGCTAAGTAAGACACTTGTTAAGTGCATTTTGCCCCATTTTACAACCTTAACGACACGGCAATCGTCCTAAATACGAGCCAGTTGCCAGGCATCTGAATTTTGATCGTGTGACTGAAAGGGGGGGGGGTTGTATTGTTGCTGCAGCAGTCGTAAGAACAGTCCTAAGTCCCTTTTGTTCAGTGCCGTGGTAACGTCAAGCGGTCACGAAAGGAACTGTCGTTAAGTCGAGGACTACCTGAACGTTGCACTTTCGATTTCGAAGGCTGCTAAGAGGGGAATTCTCTGCGGGGTCGCTTCGACCAACCAAGCATCGCTGCAAGAATTTAACTCCCTTTACAGGTTTTGGGCGAGAGCAAAAGGCACCTTGAAGGGAAACTCGTGCTGCCCATTGTGTGTTTGTTCATGAGCCATAAAGCTGTCAAGGGAGAGGAGATGTTCCCAGGCTGCTGGGTGAAATGTGGCTCGAATCAGAAGCTGCCTTAAAGCATTGTGGTTGCTGGCTTGGCACAGGAGACGCAAGCTGGGGTTGCCTGGAGATGACCTTTGAGCTTCCTTCCTTCCTTCCTTCCTTCCTTCCTTCCTTCCTTCCTTCCTTCCTTCCTTCCTCCTTCCCTCCCTCCCTCTTTCCATCCTTCCTTACTTTTGTTACTTCTCTCTTTCCTTCCTCCCTCCCATTTTTCTCCTTCTTCCCATGTTCCTTTCCTTTTTCTTTCTTCCTTCCCTCTCTCCTCCTTCCTTTCTTCCTTCCTCCTTCCCTCCCCTCCTCTTTCCATCCTTTCTTACTTTTGTTACTTCCTCTCTTCCCTCCTTCTCCCTCATTTCTCCTTCTTCCTTTTGTTCCTTTCCTTCCTTCCTTCCTTCTTCCTTCCTCTTCTTCCTCCCTCCTCCTTTTCCTTCCTTCCTCCTTCCCTCCTCCCTCTTTCCCTCCTTCCTTATTTTGTTACTTCCTCTCTTCCATCCTTCCTCCCTCATTTCTCCTCCTCCTTTTGTTCCTTTCCTTCCTTCCTTCTTCCTTCCTCTTCTCCCTCTTCCTTTTCCTTCCTTCCTCCTTCCCTCCCTCCCTCTTTCCATCCTTCCTTACTTTTGTTACTTCCTCTCTTCCCTCCTTCCTCCCTCCATTTCCCTTCCTCCCTTTTGTTCTTTCCTTCCTTCCTTCTTCCTTCTCTCTCCCTCCTTCCTTCCTCCTTCCCTCCCTCCCTCTTTCCATCCTTTCTTACTTTTGTTACATCCTCACTTTCCTTCCTCCCTCCTATTTCTGTCTCCTATCTCTTGCCTCCTCCCTTCTTTCCTCCCTCCTTCTTCCCATTTCTCCTTCCTTTTTGTTCCTTTCTTTCCTTCTTTCCTTCCCTCCCTCCTTCCTTTTCCTACTTCCTTCTTCACTTCACTTCCTCCCTCCCACCCCTTTCTCTCTCCTTCCTTCTTCCTATCTCCCTCCCTCCCTTTTTATCCTTCCTTCCTTCCTTCCTTCCTCCTGCCCTCCTTCCCTTTTTATCCTTCCTTCTTCCTTTTCCTTCCTTCCTTCCTCCTTCCCTCCCTCCCTCTTTCCATCCTTCCTTACTTTTGTTACTTCCTCTCTTCCCTCCTTCCTCCCTCCCATTTCTCTCCCCTTCCTTCTTCCCCTTTCTCCTTCCTCCTTTTGTTTCTTTCCTTCCTTCCTTCTTCCTTCCCTCTCTCCCTCCTTCCTTTCCTTCCTTCCTCCTTCCCTCCCTCCCTTTCCATCCTTTCTAACTTTTGTTACTTCCTCACTTCCCTTCCTCCCTCCTATTTCTCTCTCCTATCTCTTTGCCTCCTCCCTTCTTCCATTTCTCCTTCCTTTTTGTTCCTTTCTTTCTTTCCTTCTTCCTTCCTCCCTCCTTCCTTTTCCTACTTCCTTCTTCACTTCACTTCCTCCTCCCACCCATTTCTCTTCCTTCCTTCCTTCCTATCTCCCTCCCTCCCTTTTTATCCTTCCTTCCTTCCTTCCTCCTGCCCTCCTTCCCTTTTTATCCTTCCTTCTTCCTTTTCCTTCCTTCCTTCTTCCTTCCCTCCCTCCCTCTTTCCATCCTTCCTTACTTTTGTTACTTCCTCACTTTCCTTCCTCCCTCCCATTTCTCTCCTGTCTCTTTGCCTCCTTCCTTCTTTCCTCCCTCCCTTCTTCCCATTTCTCCTTCCTTCTTTTGTTCCTTTCCTTCCTTCCTTCTTCCCTCCCTCCCTCCTTCCTTTTCTTTCTTCTTCACTTCACTTCCTTCCTCCTTCCTTACTTTTCTTACTTCCTTCTTCACTTCACTTCCTTCTTCCCTCCCTCCCATTTCTCTCTCCTTTCTTCCCATATTTCTAATCCTCCTTCCTTCCTCCTCCCTCTCTCCCTTCTTCCCATTTCCCCTTCCTTCCTTTTTTACTTCCTCCCTTCCTCCCTCCCATCTCTCCTTTCTTCTTCCCATTTCTCTTTGCCTCTTTCTTTTCTATCTCCCTCCCTCCCTTCTTTCCATTCTCCTTCCTTCCCCTTTCCCTCCCTTCCTCTCTCCATCCTTCCTTTCTTCCCTTCTTCCAGGGGTGAAATCCAGCAGGTTCTGAAAGGTTCTGACAGGTTCTGGAGAACCGGTAGCAAAAATGTTGAGTAGTTCGGAGAACCAGCAAATACCACCTCTGGCTGGCCCCAGAGTGGGGGGGGAATGGAGATTTTGCAATATCCTTCCCCTGCCACGCCCACCAAGCCACGCCCACAGAACCGGTAGTAAAAAAATTTGGATTTCACCACTGCCTTCTTCCCTCATCCCTCCCTCCCTCCCATCTCTCTCTCCTCCCTTCAGCTTTGTCTGGACAGCTGAGAAACAAACAAACAAAAAATACTAAAAGCAATTAAAGATGCAATTACGGGGCCATTATGGCATTGCCATTAAACCACTTGCAATCTCAGTTATTTCCTGCAGAGCAAAAAAATAAAACCAACAACCAAATGATTTCACAATAATTAAACAGTTTGCAGAGAGTCGGCTTGAATTAAATGATGGGGGAATGTCAGTCGTTTTAATTTTAGCCCTTGTGAAACATTAGCAGAAGTCATGAAAATAGTGATTCGCTTTCCCTTTTGGCATTTGGGTTTACATGCCTGCTTGAAAATTCCTACGCAAAGGAACAGATTTTGGGGGGGCAACAACAATATCTGGGCTGCAAGCATTGGGGCTCACTGCAATGTTTTGACTTTTGCAGTCCAGATTTGGGATCATAACAGTTGAAAACTGTCACTTTATTGGGTTAGGAATATTTATTTTTTGATGATTTTAATGGTTTTATGCTGTAAGCCAACCACAGTCGCTTTGAAACAAGATGGGTGGCAAATAAATTTAATAGACAGATGGACAGACAGACAGAAAGATGGACAGACAGACAGTTTTCACTGGCAGAGGGTTGCAGGAGGCCGTCGCAGCCGAAAAACAGAACTCAGGAGCCTGTTTTTGCTGGCAGAGCGCTTGGGCCACCAAAGGTGCCCCCGACATGAATGGCATTGACCTGGCCACACCCATCCCAGCCCCCCTCCCCCGAGGTCAAACACAACCCTGATCGGCCCTCAATGAAATCGAGATTGACACCCTTGGTCTACGACTTCTTTTCCCTGAGATCCATCTTATTGCTTTCCATTGCTCTCCTCTCCTCTCTTACACATACGCGAATCTGGGATGGGCCCCATCTGTCCCTCCCCCTCACTCAGCCCAGGCCCCGAAGACAGCTGGCTCTGCATCTGCCTCTGATTCGGCTTGCTTGTCAGAGCCTTCCAAAGGCCCCGAAGCTGGCCCAGTCTCCCCCTCCTCCTCGTCTGACTCGTCTGACGGGCCACAACACTTGCCTGGGATAGTGTTTCATTCCACAGCTTAAAACCTCCTTGATGTCAGCATTCTGATGCTGCCATAAAAAGACGAGGCTTGACTTTTCACCTACTTATTTTCTCTGTAGATAATATCCCCTAGGAGATGGGATGGGAGGGGGGAACATTCCTGTGGGGTGAGATCAGAAGCTGGGGGAGACTGACTTGGAAGATGGCCAATGAGAAGATGAGAATTGGGGAATGGAAAGGGAAGGGTTTGAGAGTCAGAGGGTTAGTATCGGCTACGACGAAGTCGGGGCCAGATCTGTCGTACTCAATAAATGGAATAATTCAGCAAAGATTAATTGTTTGGGAGTGCAATTTATTTGAGATGACATCGAAACCTGACACTTGAATTATTATTATTTTTTTCCCCCTTTCAGCAGCTTTCAAACCCGGCTGAGAAGTGAGACATCATGACCGACGCTAAAACTCTACTGAGGAACAAGCCGACCCAACGGTTTCGGAAATCTTCGCCTTCCTGCGATGTGAGCAAGTTGACCCCCGAGCAAAAAGCACGCTATTTGGCCTTTGCCGATCCCACCAAGCCGGATGTGAAAACGATGCTGGCTACAGCTCTTATGAAAGAGAGAAAAGTCCTGGACAATCGGCAAAGGGAACTGGACGATAAAAACCTGATTGGGGTCCTCAAGGCTTCCGAAGCGCGGAACCGCCTTCGAAACGCAAGGCTCCAGTACCAGAATTTGAGAGTGAGTGAGCTTGGGTTTTCTGCTTAGAATGAGAGAATCGGAAGGGACCTCAGAGGTCTTCTAGTCCAACCCCCAGGCCATGGCCCACTATTGGGCCGTGAGCTGTTCTGAACAGGGCTGCAGAAGTGGTGGGTGAGTGTTGGTGAGCACATCCCCATTTGCATGAATGGAGCTTTGCACACGCACACGGTTTCTGGCCGCTTGCGTGGAATTATCCCCTTGTTCTGACCTAGGCTTCCCGAGACAGTAAAAAGCACATGATTAGTCCCAAAAACTCTTTTTTTATTTCAACGGCTGTGAATTCTGTTCATTCCCAGCCCGTGATGAGTCACAAAAAGTTTGTAAAAAGTCCAACAGAAGTCTGCCACACTCCTTCGGGATAAGGCTGATAAGCACCCACTTTTATTTCCCTTGACACACTGCCAAAGACCTAATTGACAATTAGCTTTGCAAGAGCACAGAGTCAAAACAGAGCTTCAGAATTTAAACCAATCACCATGAACAAAGTTGCTTCCTGCAAAGGCTCATATGCCTTTGCACCTCCTTTTTGTCTTATGGGAAGGGCCAATCATCTCCAAGTCTTACTCCTGAGTCGCCCCTTTTGTCTTAACTGTTCTTGCCTTCTGGCAGCTCTGCGCATGCAGGCACTGGGAACAGGATCCCCCTGTTCCTCTGCCTCACAGACATCAGACTGGAGGCTCTGGAGTCAGCACATAACTCCCAGATGACCCTGGCCCCATCTCTGCCTCCGACGCAGAGCCCTCGTCCGAGCCTTCCCCAGACTCCAGGACTGGCCCATGTTCCTCCCCAGCCTCCTCACTGTCCGACTCTGCTGCCAGCTCCGCAGGCTGCTGGCGGACCACAACACCCCTCTCCCTCCCCCCTCACTACCAGTCTGCAAAGTCAGAAAGATTGGGGAACTCTATTCTAGTCCAATCCCTGCCCAATCAGGAGATCCTATACCAGTGATGGTTAACCTTTTCGGCACCGAGTGCCAAAACTGGTGCACGTGCCGGAGGCTGAAACCCGGAAGAGAGCAGCTGGCTGGCATGCATGCGCATGACGGAACCTGGAAGAGAAGCTGATGACAGCGCACGTGCCCACAGAGAGCTCTCTGCGTGCCACCCCTGGTATGCATGCCATAGGTTTGCCATCATGGTCCTATACTATCTCAGATTGACCTGTACCATTCATGGTAGCAGAGAAGGCATGCTGCAGGCCCCATCAGCCGGATTTATTCTGATTTGGGGGGGGGGAAGAGGGTTCAATGTGAAGTTGGCCTCAACGTTCCTATCTTTTTGTAAGAGCCGAGGTGGTGCAGTGGTTTGAGTGCAGTACTGCCTCTACTTCAGCTGACTGCTAGTTCAGCAGATCAGCGGATCAAATCTCACCGGTTCAAGGTTGACTCAGCCTTCCATCCTTCCGAGGTGGGTAAAATGAGGACCTGTTCTGTCCCCGTCTCACACACGCACACAAGCAGTCAGCCAGGGGTTAAATAAAACTTGCAGACAATAAATTCCTTCAATAACAGGATTGGCAGCAACCCAGTAGCTGCTTCACAAGAACTTTACTCACAGAGGGAGGTGGGTAAAATGAGGACCCAGATTGTTAGGGAGTAATATGCTATTTAGTATACTGTCTTTGGTGTAAGCTGCCCAGAGTCCTCGGAGAGTGGGCGGCATAGAAATATGATTAATAAATGAATGAATGAATGAATGAATGAATGAATGAATGAATGAATGAATGAATGAATGCCTAGAAACCTGGCTTTGCCAGTCGGCTTAGGGCCTGAGTGGGAGAACAGCACAATGGAGGGGGTTGATCGAGTAATAACAGATCCCATCTTCCCCACCCCCAACTCTGCCCCCACCCTCCTCATGTGTCTTTGGTTTTAATGTTTAATTTTAACTTTTTTATGTTTTAACAGTATGTGTAACTGTAAGCCACCCAGTGTTACCCTAGGGTAAGAGAGAGTTGCAAATGAATGAATGAATGAATCAATGAATCAATGAATGAATGAATGAATGAATGAATCAATACTTCTAGTGATAAGAGAATCCACAAGATCTGGAGGCAAGTTGTTCCACTGATTAATTGCTCCCGTTGTTAGGAAGTTTCTCCTTAGTTCTAGGTTGGTTCTCTCCTTGATTAGTTTCCATCCGTCCTGCCTTCGGGTGCTTTGGAGAACAGAATAACAGGATAACAGAATTGGAAGGGACTTTGGAGGTCTTCTAGTCCAACCCCCTGCTCAAGCAGGAGACCCTTATCCCATTTCAGACAAACGGTTGTCCAATCTCTTCTTTAAAACCTCCAATAAATAAAGCATCCACAGCTTCTGGAAGGAAGACATTCCTCTGATCAATTGTTCTCAATTGTCAGGAAACGTTTCCTTAGTTCTAAGTTGCTTCTCTCCTTGATTAGTTTCCATCCGTTGCTTCTTGTCCAAGCGGTCGTAAAATCATCCTGTGAACCTGGGGATGCTGCAAGAGTTGTAAACATGAGGATTAATTGTAAATCACTTTTTCGGGGCCATTTGTAAAGTTTGAATAAGTTTTGCGAGATAGACAAGAATCGGGGTTATATAGGAGCTGGGACAGATGGTATGCTTGGCTGCAAAAAAAGAAATCTTAAGAAGAATGAAAATATTAACCTTAATGTGAACGTGGGTAAATATTTATAGGAGCATTGCATGACAGCTGAGAATTTTTCTCCTGGATAAACAAACTTTTCTTTCTTTTGATGAGTTGGCTTAATGGAGGTTTGTACTTTCTCTAGGCGAAAATTGATACTTTAAAACTCTATATGTATTATATTACTCTCTGCAATTCTATCCATATTGTTATACTTTTTTTTCTGTATTTTTTAAAATAATTTTCAATAAAATATTTTTAAAAAAAACGAATAAGTCAAAAGCTGCTGTAATGGGCAATGTCACCTGTACAGGGAGTTCTCGGCTTACAAGAGTTTGTTTAATGACCGTTTTAAAGTCACAACGGCACTGAAAAAAGTGACATGACTTTTTTTTCACACAACCATCGTAGCATTCCCCAGGGTCACATGATCAGAATTCAGATGCTTAGCAACTGGCTCATATTTATGACGGTTGCAGTGTTCTAGAATCATGTGATGCCTCTTTGCAACCTTCTGGCCAGCAAAGTCAATGGGGAAGCCAGATTCGCTTAACAGCCAGGTCACCAACTGAACAACCGCAACGATTCACTTAACAACCCTGGCAAGCAAGGGGGTCGTAAAATGGGACAAAACGTTAACAACTCTCTCGCTTAGCAACAAAAAAAAAATTGGACTCGACTGTGGTCATAAAGTCGAGGACTTACCTTGTAATGTGCTACGTCGCGGTATGAATCTCCTCGCCGAAGTTCATCTTTGTTTCTTTTGGCTCCAGGCGCAAGAGATCAACTTCCTGATCTCCTTCCAGAGGAACGCAAAAGGCGCCGTGAGGTTGGAAGTCTTCCTCCCGCCCCGGAGAAACATTGCAAAATTGTCTGACTGCATGAACACCATTCAGGTAAATAAATGTTACCTACACAAACTTAAAATATTTAACAACTTATATGCAGAGCACATCACGAGAAAGGCGGGGCTCGATGAATCAAAAATTGGAATTAAGATTGCCAGGAGAAATATCAACAATCTCAGATATGCAGATGATACCACTCTAACGGCAGAAGACCTCGGTGCCTTCCGCCGTGCCCTTAAAACTTTCCTTTTCCAGCAAGCCGGGCTGGCTTAAAAAATTATTAAAAATGTTTTTAATTGGTTTGTCACTTTTTAAATTTAAATTATGGGGCCAAATAGATATATATTCTTTTAATTGTTTTAAATGTTTGTATTTTACGTTTCTTATTTGTGGCTGTACACCGCCCTGAGTCCTTCGGGAGAAGGGCGGTATATAAATAAATAAATAAATAAATAAATAAATAAATAAATAAATAAATAAATAAATAAATAAATAAATAAATTAAAGAGCCTCTTGATGGGGGTGAAGGAGACAAATGCAAAAGTTGGCTTGAAACTCAGCATTAAGAAAACTAAGATCATGGCATCCGGCCCTTTCAATTCCTGGCAAATAGATGGGGAAAAAATGGAAGTAGTGACAGATTTTATTTTCCTGGGCTCCAAGATCACCGCAGATGGGAACTGCAGCCAAGAAATTAAAAGACGCTTGCTCCTGGCAAACCTAGACAGCATACTAAAAAGCAGAGACATTACCCTGCCAACAAAAGTGCGTATAGTCAAGGCGATGGTTTTCCCAGTTGCAATGGATGGCTGTGAAAGTTGCACCATAAGAAAGGCTGAGCGTCAAAGAATGGAGGCCTTTGAACTCTGGTGCTGGAGAAGACTCCTGCGAGTCCCTTGGACTGCCAGGCGATCCAACCGGTCAGTCCTAGAGGAGATCAACCCTGACTGCTCTTTACAAGGCCAGATCCTGAAGAGGAAACTCAAATACTTTGGCCACCTAATGGGAAGGAAGGACTCACTGGAGAAGAGCCTAATGCTGGGAATTACTGAGGGCAAAAGAAGAAGGGGACGGCAGAGAACAAGGTGGCTGGATGGAGTCACTGGAGCAGTCGGCGTGACCTTAAATGGACTCCAGAGGATGGTAGAGGACAGGAAGGTCTGGAGGAACGTGGTCCATGGGGTTGCAATGGGTCAGACATGACTTCCCAGCTAACAACAACAACAGAAACTTCCTGGTAAAGCCTTCCCCAATACAGATGGCTATTAGACCAACTCTCAATAAAAGCAATAAAGCTCCCATAATCAGACGAGCTGAAAGGGACCTCAGAGGTCTTCTAGTCCAACCCCCTGCCCAAGCAGGAGACCCTACATAATTTGAGACAAATGGCTGTCCAGTCTCTTCTTAGACCTCGAGGGATGGAGCCCCCACAACTTCTGTAGTCAAGCTGTTCCACTGGTTAATTGTTCTGTTAGGAAATTTCTCCTTCGTTCTAGGTTGTCTATGGAGCTTCTCAGTCATCCAGGTCATGGTTGTCCCAAATGCTGGATGACTTTGCCAGAGTACTAAATCAGTCAACAATACAATACAATACAATACAATACAATACAATACAATACAATACAATATACAATAAAATATACAATAAAATATACAATACAATACAATAAAATACAATACAATACAATACAATATACAATACAATACAATACAATACAATACAATATACAGGCTTATTTTGTGGGTGTGGCTTGGAGGTCATGTGACTAGGTGGGCGTGGCTAGCTGGTCAGAGTCATTTCTGGAAGGTCCTCACACTTACAACCAGTCCTCGCACTTACGACCCGACTCATTTCTTTGCTTTTAACACTGATCAGCTGTAGGACGGCCCTTTGAAGCCCTGCGGCAAGAGTTTAAACAGTTTTTTTCCCTCTAGTCATCAGCTGGGACTCAGGAGGCAGCAATAGACTGGGGGTGGGACCAAATAAAAGGTAAGAATAACGTGGGAGGGCGGGGGGGAGAACCGGTTCGGTGACATTATATCGTCACCGCTACCGGCTCGGCCGAACCGGACCGAACCGGGAGGAACCCACCACTGAATACAATACAATACAATACAATATACAATACAATACAATATTCAATACAATATAATACAATATACAATACAATACAATATACAATACAATACAATACAATACAATATACAATACAATACAATATACAATACAATACAATACAATATAATATACAATACAATACAATACAATACAATACACTATACAATACAATACAATACACTATACAATACAATACAATACAATACATACACTATACAATACAATACAATACAATACAATACAATACAATACAATACAATACAATACAATACAATACACCACACCCAGCAGGGATTTTCTTCTAACTATGGGAAGTTTTGCTGCCTTCTAGCTCAGCCAACGATATTTTAAGCTCAATTGTGGTCCTAATTCGAGAAATACCTACATATTTGGGACAGCTGCTTCTTAAATATTCCTTTCCTTTTTCTGAACTTCTTTTTTTTTCCTCTTTTGTTTTTCAGCGGAGTCGGATTGAGGAGATTCTGGAAGACGAAAGTGGTGAGATCTTTATCAAGAGGCCTTGAGACCTTAGAGAACAAGAAAATGATAAGGGAAATAGGATATGGATTAAACCCAGAAATGGGGAATTTACTCTGAAGGGTTTCGACGTAGCAAGCCATGGCTCTTTAATAAACTGTGGATCATCAGAAACCCAAGTTAGGGAATCTACAGATACGTCTATTTTTAGCGCACCTCCTAACAGAATAACAGAGTTGGAAGGGACCTTGGAGGTCTTCTAGTCCAACCCCCTGTTTAAGCAGGAAACCCTATACCGTTTCAGACAAATCGTTGTCCAATCTCTTCTTAAAAACCTCCAGTGTTGGGAGCCCCCACAACTTCTGGAGACAAGTTGTTCCACCGATTAATACAATACAATACAATACAATACAATACAATACAATACAATACAATACAATACACCACACCCAGCAGGGATTTTCTTCTAACTATGGGAAGTTTTGCTGCCTTCTAGCTCAGCCAACGATATTTTAAGCTCAATTGTGGTCCTAATTCGAGAAATACCTACATATTTGGGACAGCTGCTTTCTTAAATATTCCTTTCCTTTTTCTGAACTTCTCCTTTTTTTTCCTCTTTTGTTTTTCAGCGGAGTCGGATTGAGGAGATTCTGGAAGACGAAAGTGGTGAGATCTTTATCAAGAGGCCTTGAGACCTCCTAGAGAACAAGAAAATGATAAGGGAAATAGGATATGGATTAAACCCAGAAATGGGGAATTTACTCTGAAGGGTTTCGACGTAGCAAGCCATGGCTCTTTAATAAACTGTGGATCATCAGAAACCCAAGTTAGGGAATCTACAGATACGTCTATTTTTAGCGCACCTCCTAACAGAATAACAGAGTTGGAAGGGACCTTGGAGGTCTTCTAGTCCAACCCCCTGTTTAAGCAGGAAACCCTATACCGTTTCAGACAAATCGTTGTCCAATCTCTTCTTAAAAACCTCCAGTGTTGGGAGCCCCCACAACTTCTGGAGACAAGTTGTTCCACCGATTAATTGTTCTAATTGTCAGGAAATTTCTCTCAGTTCTGGGTTGCTTCTCTCCTTGATTAGTTTCCATCCGTTGCTTCTTCTCCTGCCTTCAGGTGCTTTGGAGAATAGGTTGACCCCCAACTCTTCTTTGTGGCAGCCCCTCAAATATTAAGTATGACATGCTTGTGTCAGATTTCAGATCAATGCTGAATTCGGGTTGCATCACCACCTTTGATGAGATTGGCACTTTTCAATTCTGCACCTTTAGTTCAGACTTTTATTTTTATTTTTCAATTTTAGTTTCAGAGATTTATTTTTCCGGATGAAGACTTCAACCTGTACAGATCTAACCCAATATAAGCCTAAGAAAAATAACTTTCAAAATTCATCAGGATGTTAAATATGCTCGGGGATCTCTTGCAGTCGGGAAGGGAGGAGGGGGAGGGTGTCTGAAAAATCAAGATGGCGGATGTAGTTGCGCCATAAAAGCCCCGCCCCTTCTATGCAACACCTGTAAAAGGGGGCGGGGCCTTTGCTTCCGCAGCCACCATCTTGAATTTTTGGACTCAACACAAATTACAGAAGTCCCTGATAGTGATGCAAGCAATCCTGAAATCTGTTAAATTATCAGCCAATCCACTTGCTTAAAAGAGGCCCCTCCCTTTTTATGGACCCAAAATCGTGTTTTATGTAATCGTGTTGCATCTCCTGCAATTGTTATCATGTTTCCCCAAAAATAAGACCTTGTCTTATATTTTTTTGAACCCTGAAATAAGTGCTTGGCCTTATTGCCATGCGCTCAAAAGCCCGATTGGGCTTATTATCAGGGGAGGTCTTGTTTTGGGGGAAACAGGGTAAATGTGAGAGGCAGATATACGGTAGTGGCCAAAATTGTGGAAACTTTTCGGGAAAAGTGTATTTTTGAGGTTTGATGGCTAATAACACCACTTTTTTTTTTTTTTTTTTTGAGTTCAAAATAATCCTATTCCACTGCTGAAATGGCCTGGAAATAGCCCAGACCTCAACCCAATTGAAAATCTATGGAGCCGACTAAAGAAACTTGTTAGTCAGAAGAGGCCCAGCAATAAAACCCAGTTAATAGAAGCCATCATTCAATCTTGGTTTCATATTATAACAAATGCATAACTCAAAGACTTGGTTCACTCCATGGGAAGACGTTATAAGGTCGTCATTCATGCTAAAGGTTACCCAACTAAGTATTAACTGACATGGTGATCATTTTTGTATATCTCATTTTTTCTATGGTGATAATTTCTGTATATCTCATTTTTTCTACGTGTTTCACTTTTCTTCTTTATAACTGCTATTCTACAGTAGTAGCAAATCCTTCATAAAAGTTATTGCATTACATTCTTGATTAAATTATCTTTCCATTGATATATAATTTTATGGTACTACTCCCAAAATAAGTGGTGTTGTTAGCTAGTTTTAGAAAATACACTCTTCCCAAAAGGTTTCCACAATTTTGGCCACTACTGTGTATTAAAAAATTTATCGGCATGACCTCTCCTCTGGATTTCTCAGATCACAAAACAGTTGCCACAAGACACATAACTGTCACAATACATCATTTTAGCAGAAGGCAAATATCTTGACATTGTTTCTCCGATAAACCTCCCCTTGCATTCCTTTAAACTTTCAAGAATGTTCTGTAAATGCTCACTTAAAATTGAAGTTGAATAAAATTAGTCCTTGACTTACAACAGTTCATTTAGGGACCATTTGAAGTTACAGTGGCACTGAAAAAAAACTCATATAGCGGTTTCTCACACTTACGACCATTGAGGCATCCCCCCATGGTGATGTGATCAAAATTCAGAACAACTGGCAACTGACTCCTATTGCAATGTCCTGGGGCAGGAGTGGGCAAATGTGGCCCTTTTACAACCTGTGGACTTCAACTCCCAGAATTCCTGAGACAGCTGTCTCAGGAATTCTGGGAGTTGAAGTCCACAGGTTGTAAAAGGGCCACATTTGCCCATCCCTGTCCTGGGGTCATGTGATCCCCTTTGGAGACCTCGATTGGAGAAGCCAGATTCACTTAATAACTGTGTTACTAACTTAACAACGGCAGTGGTTCATTGAACAACTGTGGCAAGACAGGTCGTAAAATGGAGCAAAATTCACTTAACTGTCTCACTTAGCAACAGAAATGTTGGGCTCAATTGTGGTCATAAGTCAAGGACTACCTATGCTTTATTTGGACAAGTGTGATTAGAGACACAAGGAATTTGTGCCCGGTGCAGAAACTCTCAGTGTACATACAAAGCAACAGAATAACGATAATCGTAGTAACAATAATACGAATAAGAGGGAAGTAAAGAAGATAATAAGAAATAGAAATTGCCCTGCATTGTGTTTTTGCAGAATGAAATGAATTAATTCAATACTGTACAAATAGTCCTCATTTAACAACCGGTTGCTTAGCAGCCATTTGAAGTTAAAACGGACACCCTCCCCCCAGAAGGTGCAGGTAGTCCTCAACTTACAACAGTCCATTAGTGACCAAAGTTACAACATCAGTGGGAAAAAATTAACTTATGACCATTTTTCACACTTACAACCGTTGCAGCATTCCCTGAGGATTCACAGGATCAAAATTCAGACTCTTGGCAACTGACTCATACTTACGACGGTTGCAGTGTCCCAGGGACACCTGATTCCCTTTTGCGACCTTCTGACAAGCCGAGTCAATAGAAAAACCAAATTCACTTAACCACCGTCTTACTAACTTAAGAACTGTAATGATTCACTGAACAACTGTAGCAAGGAAGGTCGTAAAATGGGGCAAAACTCACTTAATAAATGTCTCGCTTAGCAGCATAAATTTTGGGGTCAGTTGTGCTCGTAAGTCGAGGACCACCTGTACTTATGACCTGATTTTGAAGTTCTGGCGGTTGTACACGCATGTCACATTGTTAAGGATATTCTTGGCTCATAACCGATGTTATGGGTTATTGAGCAGAGTACCCCTTGAGTATGCACATGAAAGCGGCTGAGAGTGAATAACCACAGTTAATATACTGACACACTGAGTTGTGGTAGTCTTTTACTTTTTAGAAAAAAGTAAAGCAAAGTCCAATAACAATCCAAGTCATACACAGATCAGGCGATAGTTAAAACATCAATTCAGGGATATTCCAAGTACAAAGTCTTCTTACCAGTTGTTGTCATTACACAATAAAACAGTTCTTCTCGAGTTTCAAACAGGAACAAGTTCAGTATTAAAACATTCAATAAATAGTAGAAAGCAACAAGTAGCAATGATCAAACAGTGATCATACAGAGAGAACAGGTAGAGAGTAACAGCAAACAAACAGATAAAATGGTGTAGTGTCCACAAGCCATAATTCAGGCTTCCCCTTAAGTACATTGGCTACAGAGCTTAGCCAATCAGGATAAGGATGATGCAATACAGTCTTAAAGCAATATAACACCTTTTGACAAACATATATTGATTGATAGTTTATATATTGCCTGACCAACTAGTTAGACAATAGTCATTTCCTAAAAACACATGATCATATCTGGGGCACCAAGCCACCAACTTGCATTTACTTCTGGCAAAAAAAAGTGGATAAATGGATTTGTTTAATGATCGCAGAGTTCACTTAACGACCACAGCATTCACCACCGGAAAAAAATGGACGTGGTAATTGCTTAATGACTGCAACAAGCAGGAAAGGATGGGCATCTTCTGGCTATCTTTACTTACAAGTAAAATGTAAGAATATATTCAGAATATAAGGGCATAAAATAGGTTTCGGTCACACGATGGTCCGTTTTCCAACTGTTACAACTCCCGAGCATAATTGCGAGGCTCAATTACAGGTAGTCCTCGACTTACGACCACAATTGAGGCCAAAATTTTCGAAGCCAAAACATTCGTTAAGTGAATTTTGTCCCTACGACTTTTCTTGCCACAGTTGTTAAGTGAATCACTGCAACCTACTTGTTAAGTGAATCTGACTTCCCCATTGACATTGCTGGTCAGGTCACAAAAGGGGGATCACATGACACCCCACCCCCCCAGGACACTGCAACCGTCATAAATATGAGTCAGTGGCCAAGCATCTGAATTTTGATCATGTGACCATGGAAATGCTGCAATAGTCGTAAGTGTGAAAAACGGTCATAAGCCGCATTTTCGGTCCTTTTGTAACTCTGAACGATCACTAAATGAACTGTTGTAAATCGAGGACTAACTGTGCTGTCATAAATTGAGGACTATCTATAATTCACGTGAGTGAGCAAGGAAGGAGATCCATCCATTCACTTTTCTCCCAAACTGTTGACATTTGATTGATAGGAACCTGATCCTTCATTCAATTCAACCGTGTCTTGTGTTTTTATTCTAGGATTTGATGTTCAAAGCAAACATAATCCTGACATTTGAGAATATTATTGCCTAATGTTGAAAGATTTTACCCAAATGAGATGAGATGAGCCACATCTCAATTCTGTGAGATCAGTTCCCTTCTGACCCTGATATGGCGTCTCCAAAAAGGAAAACTTTGGGCTGTTAGCATTTCTTTTCCCACCCCCCATCGTTGCTAGATTTCGGGAGAAAGTGGAAGAAGTAACCAGCAAAAGGCATATATTTGAAGTTCAAAGTAGTTTCTTCATTGTGGTTGTATTTTTAGTCCAATAACAGGGGAGCAATCATGGGCTTCTTGTAAATTTATTCTTACACTCATGTAAGAAATGTAAATGTGGAGAAAAGAAACTCGAGGCTCACGAATTTAATCCAATGTAAATTTTACTGTAAACGTATGTGCGCAAATAATTCAATTTACTATTTCGAGTAAACGAGCTTTCTTGCTAACATCTAGGCTCAGTTAGCTTTCTTGCTAACATCTAGGTTGCCAGTTATGCTTGGAAACCATTACAATTTGGGATTGTGTGAAGTTGCAAGGATTGTATACGACAACAGTGCACGCCGATTTGTTACGTGTTGGGTTTCCAGTTTTTGCTGAGTTCTGTTTTCATTCAGTGTTCCACAGACAGCTGTTTCGTGCAGGTATCATAGATCCATATAACTATAACCCAGATACCAAATAGATTAAGAATTGCATTAACAGCCAGATTAAAAGAATTCTAGATTTCGTCTTGTACTGTATTTCATTTGTTCTACTGCGGCTTGCTTTGAGCATTGTATGCGCTAAGGAAGCATGTAAATAAAATTATTTTAGCCGTAGCCACTGGATTCTGCTGTCTTTTATTTTTTTCTTCTTAACCCTGTGCAATTTGCACATCTGATGCAAACATTTCTTGGTGTGACCCAATTCAAAATTTTAAAAAAGGAAAGGGGGCACATGTTGACATAAATTGCCAGCAGATGGCCCTGCTCAAGATCTGTAATCAGAGTTAGCAAATCTCTGAACAAACAGAGGGGGGGGTCTGGGACCGGGGTGGGTTCTAAATTTTTTTACTACCGGTTCTGTGGGCGTGGCTTATTTTGTGGGTGTGGCTTGGAGGTCATGTGACTAGGTGGGCGTGGCTAGCTGGTCAGAGTCATTTCTGGAAGGTCCTCGCACTTACGACCAGTCCTCGCGCTTATGACCCGACTCATTTGTTTGCTTTTAACACTGATCAGCTGTAGGGCGGCCCTTTGAAGCCCCGCGGCAAGAGTTTAAACAGTTTTTTTCCCTCTAGTCATCAACTGGGACTCAGGAGGCAGCAATAGATTGGGGGTGGGACCAAATAAAAGGTAAGAATAACGTGGGGGGGTGGGGGGTGGAAGGGCGGGGGGGAGAGAACCGGTTCAGTGACGTCATATCGTCACCGCTACTGGCTCGGCCGAACCGGACCGAACCGGGAGGAACCCACCACTGGTCTGGGACATCTAAATGCCACCATCTTGCCACCTCACCATAGGACATCTTGCTCCGGCCAACTCACCGTGGGAAAAACTCACAACCTGGGCCTCCTACTCTGGTTTCCAAACTCAGCCTGACTCAAGGGAGCCAAAAGTTCCTGCTAGCTCACATTCCTTTTTTTTTCAATTCAGAATAGAGCTGGAAGGGATCTTTGAGGTCTTCTAGTCCAACCCCTTGCTCAAGTATGAGACCCTATATCCGTGATGGCATGTGGAGCCATATCAGTGGGCATGCGAGCGTTGCCCTAGCTCATCTCTGGTGCGCATGCGCACGCCGGCCAGCTGATTTTTTTGGACCTTCTGGGCCCACTGGAAGTCGGGAAACAGGCTGTTTCTGGCCTCCAGGGGGCTGGGGAAGGCTGTTTTCGCCCTCCCCAGGCTCCTAGAAAGGCTCTGGAGGAGCTCTGGTGGCTCAGCAGACTAATTAACATCCACTTACATCTGCTGCCTGCAATTACTGCAAGTTCAAATCTCACCAGGCTCAAGGTTGACTCAGCCTTCCATCCTTTCTAAAGTAGGTAAAATGAGGACTCAGATTATGGGGGCAATAAAATGACTTCATATAAATATACAAAAGTATGAAGGCTATTGCTTAACGCTGAGTCTCCGGAGAAGGGCGGCATATAAATCAAATTCCTAGCAGGAAATCAAATCGTCGGCCAGGCAGTGCCGGCTGGCGACCCCCAGGGGGAGAGCCTTCTCTGTAGCAGCACCTGCCCTCTGGAATGACCTGCCCCCTGAGATACGCACAATATCAGACCTCCGGTTTTTTCATCGGGCCCTGAAGACACACTTGTTCCATCTAGCTGGGCTGGCTTGATCCCATCCTCTCAGTTTTTTAATCGAATTCGGTTTTAACTGGGTTGTTTTAAATTCGGGCCAAAATTATTTAATTGTTTTTTAAAATGTTTTTAAATTTTATACGCTATGTTTTATCCTGGCTGTACACCGCCCTGAGTCCTGTAGAAGAAGGGCAGTAAAGAAATAAAATAAAATAAATAAATAAATAAAATAAATTAAAACAAAAACAAAAACGGGCCTACTAGGCCAACCGGGCCATCACGTACCAAGTGGGGGGAGTGCAGGGGGGTTGTTCGCGAGGGAGCAGGGTGCATTGAATTATGGGTGTGGGCACATGTGCGCGACCTCCCCACTGCTTTTGGCATGTGACGCCAAAAAGGTTAGCCATCACTGCCCTATACCATTTCAGACAAGCGGTTGTCCAGTCTCTTCTTAAAAACCACCAGTGATGGAGCACCCATACCTTCTGGAGGCAAAATGGGAGCAAAATTCACTTAACAAAAGTCTCCACCCTTGGTCACTCGGGGAGACGTGCGACTTGCTCTCCGCCCCGAGACACTGGCTCGGCCTTGCTGCAGCCGCCGCCGCTGCCGCTGTTGCCACCTCCATAGCCTGGCCGCTGCTCTCACAGCACCTTGCGCAGCAAAGTTAAATTTAGCGTGCTTCACAATGGGGGAAACGGTGTCCCCCTCCTCCTCCTGGAGCCCATTACAATGCAGAGCATCAGCCGTAGCCGGGCAGGGCCTGTGTCTCGGGGCGGAGAGCAAGTCGCGCATCTCCCCGAGCAACCAAGGTGCGCGCAGCACCAATAAGGGCCGGAAGAAGCGCCTGCGAGATATGGCAAGTACAGCGGTGCTTCACTCCTGCTCTGGAATATGGAGCGAGTCTCCATCCCCCGCCGTCACCCTTACCTCCTCAAGCCAGGCGAGGAGTGATTGTGATGGGAGGGCGAGGGGCCAGCCAGTGGTACGGAGCCACAGCGGGGGACGAAAGAGCCGCATGTGGCTCTGGAGCTGCAGGTTGCAGACACACGCCCTATAACAGTGATGACTAACCTTTTTGCCATCGTGTGCCAGGAGGGGCGGGGGAGGTTCGCGCGCATGCGTGCCCATACCCATAATTCTATGCACCCTGCCCTGCGCATGCATGTGCAACCCCCCCGTCCCGTCCCCCCACTCCTGGCATGCGATGGCCCGGTAGGCCCGGCTCCAGATCCTCTCTATGCATCTGGGGAGGGCGAAAACAGCCTTCCCCATCCCCTCGGAGGCCCTCTGGAGGCCTGAAACGGCCCATTTCCCAACTCCCGGTGGGACAGGAAGTAACATTTTTTGCTGTCCCCAGCCTCCAAAGCCTCTCTAAGAGTCTCTGGAGGCTGGGGGCAGCAAAAAAGGCCCGAAAATCAGCTGGCCGGTCCGTGCATGCGCGCCAGGCGGGCCCACTGATATGGCTACGTGTGCCACCTGTGGCACGCATGCCATAGGTTTGCCATCACAGCCCTATAACATTACAGACAAATGGTTGTCCAATCTCTTCTTAAAAACCTCCAGTGTTGGAACATATATAACTTCTCGAAGCAAGCTGTTCCGCTGATTAATTGTTCTCACTGTCCGGGAATTCCTCCTTAGTTCTAGCTTGGATCTTTCCATTGCTTCTTGTCCTGCCTGTCCTGCTCTTATGGAAGACCAGAAGCCCAGCATCTGGAAACTTCATTTGCAAATTCGCAACCTGTAGGAAAAAAAGGAGGCATTTCCAAGAGTTTGAAGCTGCGGTCTTCTAAGGGCCCTTGTTTGGAAAGGCAGTTGAAAGAGATGGTGAGGAGGGTTGGATGACGCATATTTTTCCTTGTGTTTGGGCGGCACCTACTGGATCACGGGAGATCACAGCTCCTAAGAACACATTCGGCTTTTCCTTGGAACTAAAAAACAAACTATGGGCTGAGCTAGGAAGGGCAGCAAAGCTTCCCATAGTTATGTTAGAAGAAATATCCTTCTGGGTTCAGCTCCAAGTGGGGAAAAAGACACTGGAAACATGGAGACTGCTTGGAAAGATGGTTTAATGGTGGACAGGATCACATGGCTTGAGTTCCTGAACAGAAAAGGGGACGAGACGCAGTGAGTCCTCCAGTTTTATGCCCTCTCTGGCTTTGAACTTCCGGGGGCCCAGAAAGAGTATCCTGATTGGTTGTCAGACTCCCAGAGGGTGGGGGTCTTAGCTAGCCTTGCTGGCTGATGTAATCTTCCTGGGTGCCATGTGGTGAGTTTCTGTTGCTAGATGGGTCCTATTGTGGTGCAGATGATGGTCCATTGACAAAGATTGAGTTTCTGCCTCTGGCCCATTGACAAAAGGGTGGGGGGGGCAGGAAGATGGGAGCTGCTTCGTCTGCTTCTCCATTTCTCATCCAGGGAAACACAATATTCTGCCTTTTTAATATTTCCCAAAATATTTCATTCCTCTAGGAAAGGGGTTGGTGCTAACTTCCTACAGTTAGATAGAAGGAAAATCCCTGCTGCATTTAGTGTTTTAGTGCCCTGGCAAAAATTCATCCAGAATTGTAAGCCTATTTCGATATTCAAGTAGTCCTCGATTTACAACAGTTGATTTAGGACCATTCAAAGTTACAAAAGCACTGAAAACAGTGACTTATGACTGTTTTTCACACTTTACGACCATTGCCGCGTCCCCATAGTCACGGGATTTATATTCTGATGCTTGACAACAGACCCACATTTATGACAGTCGCAGTGGCCCGGGGTCATGTGATCCCCTTTTGCGACCTTCTGACAAGCAAAGTCAATGGGGAAGCCAGATTCACTTAACAACCGTGTTACTAACTTGACAACCGCAGCGATTCACTTTAACAACTGTGGCCACAAAAGTTGCAGTAAAATGGAGCAACCTCCCTCATTTCTCACTTAGCAACATAAATTGTGGGCTCGATGGTGGTCATAAGATAATGAAACGTCTGCAAGAAAACCACCATCAGAGAGCAACAAGCATCTCAGAATTGTCATTGTCCTCCTTCTCCTCTTCGTAAACTCCCAGTTCCTTCAAGCACTGATGATGTTACCTAGTTCGGTAATAAAACATCCGCAAGAAAAGATTAAGCCCAGAGAGTACCGAGGATCCTACAGTTCAACCTTGAACTACAAATATTCTACCAAACTTCTCACACCGTTAGGAAGTTTTGTCTAACACTCTTTGTCTCTTTTCTTATAACTTCAACCAACTAATTTATGGCCTACAATCTGCAAAAAATGTAAACCGCTCCGTGACCTGCTTCTCGGTGGCATCCATTCAGGAATTTGAAGGATTTGACCCTCCTTCCGGGTGGCCCTTTTTCTAACCATGGTCCAGCTTCTCTGCATCTTCTGAAAATGGGAATACCCTGACAAGGGATCCAAGCAGGATAAAGTGGAAAAAATTGCTTATTCTAATTTGGAAAACAATCCCTCAGTTCATGAAGCTTAAAATCACATTAAACTTTGTTTGTTTGTAGCCGTGACTCCTACACAGGAAAT